CGGACGCGGGGCGCGCGGGCGGCGCGGGGGGCTCGGCGCGGCCGGCGCGCAAGGACAGCAGCGCGAGCAGCAGCGCGGCCAGCGCGAGCAGGAGCAGCGCCGCCGCCTTGCTGCGGAGCTTCATGGTGCGGCGCGGCGGCGGCGGCCCCGGGGCGGCGCGGCCCCTCTGCGCATCGCGGCTCGCCGGGCAGCGGCGGCGAGGCGAGCGCAACAGCGCGGGCGGCCGCCTCCTCCGCCCGCCCGCCGGGGACTGGGGTCCGCGCTGCCGGCGGGCGGGCGACGGAGGAGGAGGAGAAGGAGGAGGAGGGGGCGGGCGGGGAGGAGGCGCGAGCCCGGCTCGAGGAGGAGCGGCCCGCGCCTACCGTACTGTGTGGAGTAGCCGCCCGTCTGCCCACCCGCCAGCCGCCCGGAGCCTGGCGCTTTGGCTTCAGGGAGTGCAGCCTCAAATCCTTTTCCTCATTGATGCATCATCCTTCCATCCACCTGTTCATCCGTTCATTCATGCCCTCCCATACCATTCCGTTTCCTCGGTGACTTCTTCATTCGGTCACTCGTTCACTTACCCTCCTATTCCACCCGCTCTTCAGCTCATTATTCTGTGCATTTTCCCCATCGTTTATTTTTATCCATCTTTCCACAAACGCGTGCATCCGTCTATACATCCAATCAGGCAAGAGCATCTCTGTTCCGTTTTCCCAGTGCAGGGCCTGGCACCTGGTGGATATCTGTTGGACAAAATCACGCCAGATCCACGTAGCCTAAAGAAGTTACAGGATACATTTCAAAGTCTGGGTTTAAACTCTGACTCTGTCCCCTACTGGCTTAGTGATCCTGAGCAAGTTGCACAATTTGAGACTTCGTGTCCTTACATGCAAAATGGAAATGATAATACTGCTCTCCACGGAGGCATTGTTGTGGGCATTAAATTAAAAAAGAAATGCATTCAAAGAAACTAGAACAGTGCCTGGCTCACAATAGGTGTGCAATAAAAGCTCTGTGATAATCAGTACAATAAAACGTAGCTTATCAGAAATACATAAATGCAAAGGTTTTTTTTTCCTTTCTGATGTAGATTTGAGCTAGAGTAACAACTTTACCACCCATTGTAGGAATAGAGTCTTCTGAGACCCTAACAGCTACAATCACCAGATCAAGGTTCTGAATTTTCAAAGTATTCTTTCAGGGCATCTCTAGTCACAAATCTGAAGCATTAGGACACACGCTGTTATTATTCACTATGAACTGACAGTCAGCGTTCTACTAACTAGCTTTTTCAGCATGGCCACAGCACAAAGAAGACTAGTTAGAACAGTGTCTCTGAGTTTCCACCAGATTGCATGTTGACTTATAAATCATCTTAAAATTCAGTTATATTCCAAATCATTCTTATATTAACATTATAGTTTAATTATTTGGGAACCCATTGTATTTAAAATTCTAGGAATGAGAATGTTTAATACCCTGGAACCTCTTGCCAAGCAGGCACACGGAAATGGCAGGGTGCAAGGTCAAAGCGTGGACTGAGAAATGTTGCAGTCAAGTGAGCACAAACAGTCCATTGGTTTTCAACGAGGATAAGGTACCATCGCAGTAGGAGGTATCTGGAATTGTGAGAAGGATGTTTTGTGTTGTCACAATGACTGGCAGGTCTATTGACGTACACCAAACCTCTTACAGTGCTTAGGACATTCTAGCATGACAAGAATCATCCTGGGCCAAGTGCCAACATGGGGTTCCTGTTGAGAAATGCTGAGCTATGCTAAGACTTGGCGCTTAGGCCTTTCAGGTTTAGAAATGACCACCATCATGTTGCTCTGTGGCCCAGTGAAACAGAAATTCCCAAACTCTGTCTTGCCACCTTTCCTCTTCCTCAAGGAGGACATGTGCAACAAGGGTAAAATAAGGCACAGTAACACTGAAGTAGTAGTACCTGAGGGTTTTAGCCTCAAACACCCAAATGGAGCTTGGGACAGTTAAGCTTGACCAAACAGAGAACTTCATTTTCTTAAACTCCACTGACTTACCTCCTTCACCTGAATCCAAACCCAAGTTTTGGATTTCACTGCTCTGATTGGTGGAAAAATACAACTTCTGACACCCTGGAAAAGGGGTTCTAGATACCATATCTGTGGATCACCCAGTTTCTCACTTGGATGTTTAATAACCCAAAATGCTTGTTTATATGCTCCCCCCCTTCATCCCTGAAATCTATTTCTCCTTCTGGAGTTTTGGTATCTCTAGACACTTAGTTGCTCAAGCCAGAAATTAGGTGGGAATCATCCTTGATTTCCCTATTTTCCTCACCTCCTGCATTAGTTATCTGTTATCAATTTTTAGTTATTATTATCTGTTATGCATAACAAACTACTCAAAAATTTGTTGGCTTAAGATAATCCACATACAATCTCATCACTTCTGTGAACATTCCAGAACAGCTTAGCTGGGTCCTCTGCTTCCCAGGCTCTCACAGGGCTGTAATAAATTGTTGGTTCAGTGCTATGATCTCATCTGAAGACTCAAATGGGGAAGGATCCACTTCCAACCTCATTTACATGACTGCTGGAAGAATGCAGTTTCCTTCAGGTCATTGGATTAAGAGTCTCTGTGCCTTGCTGCCTGTTGACCAGGGATGCCCCCAGTTCCTCTCCAGGTGGCCGTCTCTATCAGCATAAGCCTGTAAGAAGAGTCAGAGAGAGGATGTAACAATACAAAAAAAGTAACCTAATTTTTTTTATAACCTAATTTCAGAAGTGACATTCTGTCACTTTATCTTGTTCTTTTAGTTAGAAGCAAGTCATTACATCTCATTCACACTCAAGAGGAAAGGATTACACAAGGGCTGGAATACCAGAAGTCCAGGATTATTGGGAGCCATTTTAGAAGGCTGCCTTTCTCACCTCCCATATCCAGAGAATTAGCGAATTCTGTTAAAGCTACTTCCCAAACATGATTGGCATCTGTCCAATTCTCTCCTTCTGAATTGCCAATCATGATTGCTTGACAAGGCCAAAGCTTGCTAAATTCTTAATAGCCTCATTTCTATTGTATTGCATATAAATTATGCCCATCTCACGGCCCACCCCCCACTCCCATTATATGATGTGGCTGTTCTATGGCCTACACGCAATAGCAATTACCTTCTAATTAATCTCCTTGCTTCTTCCCAGGCCTTCTTCCAATTTTTAAGCCGGGTTGATTTAAACAAACAAACAAACAAACCTAAGTTGAGTCTTATTTCCCCCCTGCTTAAAACCCTTCAGTGATTCAGTGATTCTTCATGGTTCTTTTTTTTTTTTTTTAGGCTCCACCCAGTATGGAGCTTAATGCAGGGCTTGAGGTCAAGACCTGAGCTGAGGTCAAAAGCTGGAGGCTTAATTGACTGAGCCACCAAGGTGCCCCTTTTTCATGGTTCTTTAAATAAGTCTGAACTCCTTACCATAGCATCTAACTCTAAGATGATGTGGCCCCTGACTGCATCCATCCTGGGGCTTGTTCCAGCCCCACTGGCTTTCCATCAGGGCCTCTACCATTCCTGGGTCGTACTTGCTTCAGTGTCTTTGCATTTGTGTTTCCTTTTGCTGATTCTATGCTCGGGAAAATACTTCAAGATTTAGATCTCAGCTTAAAGCCACCTCCTTAGAAAAGCCTTTTCTGGCCACCCTCTTTAAGGAGATATTGTCCCTCCCATTATTATATGCCCATTTTGTTTCCTGCAGAACCCTTCCCATAAACTGTATACACATACATAAACATATGGGTACACACACAGATACACATTCAAATTTATATGTCTATATGTTTTTAATTGGAATTATTTATGAACAGTAGCATATATAGTTCTTAATTGTATAGCTAGATATACCACAAAAACCAACATATAGAACATTTCTAACATCTCAGAAGACTCCCTATGGCCTCTCCCAGTAGTTATATTCAAGGATAATAACTACTTTAATTTCTAAATCATAGATTAATTTCGTCTGCTTTTTGAAACTTTATATAAACAGAGCCATCTGACAGGTACTCCCATTCAACATATTGTCTGTGAAATCAATTCATGTTTTTCCATGTATCAGTAAGTTTGTTTGTACATCTGTTTGTTTGCTGGGTAATATTCCATTATATTAATATAACATAATATAGGTTATTATTTTTAATCCATTTCACTATTGAGATAATGAAATTATTTGCAGCTATTATGAGCATTTTTATACAAATTTTTGCTGGACATAAACATACATCTCTTTTGGCTATATATCCAAAAGTGGAATTTCTGGGTCATACAGTTGGCATATATTTAGTTTTAGATGCTGCCAAATAGTTTCTGAAAATGGTTGTACCAATTTACACTCCCAATAGAACTCCAACTTACTCCAAATCTCCATCTATACTTGATCTTGTGTGTTAGTTTAATCTTAGCTATGCTGGTGGGTGTCTAGAGTACTGTGTTACAGTTTGAATTCTCATTTCTCTTGAGCACCTTTGATATATTTATTGACCATTTGGATATCTTCTTTTATGAAGTGGCTCTTTTACCTATTTGGGGGGTAGGGCATCTGGCTTCTTCTTATTGATTTGTGGGAGTCCTTTATATATTATTAATATAGGTCTTTTGTCAGATGCACATTTTGCAAATAACTTCACTCAATGTGTGGCTTTTCACTCTTTTAACGCTATCTTTTGATAAATAGAAATTCTCAATTTAATGAAGTCCAACTTTTCAAACTTTTATGGTTAGTATGCTTGGTGTTTTGTCTAACAAATCTTTGTCTTGGTCACAAAGAAATTTTTTTATTTTCTTCTAGAATATAGCTGTATGATAGAACTTTATGTGATAATGGAAATGTTTTATGTCTACACTGCCCAAAATGGTACCCAGTAGCCCCATGTGGCTATTGAGCCCTTAAAATGTGGCTAATATGAGGAACTGAATTTTTTAAAATTTTATTTAAATAGCCATATGAAGTTAGTTGCTGCTATATCAGATAGCACAGTTCTAGACACTTTATTGTTTTAGTTTCCACATGTAAATCTACAATCCATTTTGGGTTAGTCTGTGTGTGTGTGTGTGTGTGTGTGTGTGTGTGTGTGTGTGTGTAAAATAGAAGGTAAAGATCAGGATTA